ATGCCTACTTTCATGTAGTCATCCACCCATCGCACAACTGCTTCCTGCGCTTTCTAGTAGGAACAAATCAATATGAATATTGAGTTCTTCCCTATGGACTCTTCACAGCTCCAAGAGTGTTTACAAAGGTCCTTTTCGTAGTGGCAGCTTGCCTTCATCAATTTGGATCTCAGTATTCCCATATTTGGATGACTGGTAGATCAGGGGTTGATCACACCAAGAGGTCCAGTCAGCTATGACCAAGGCATTAACCTTGTTCCAATCATGAGGACTTTGCATCAATTACAAAAAATCTATACTAACTCCGATACAAAGGATAAACTTCATAGGAGCCATTCTGGACTCCACAACAGCAAAAGCCTACCTACACAGCGAGAGATTTTCCACCCTCTCAGGTGGAATCTCAGTCCTACAGTTGAACTCACAAACTACCGTGAGAGCTTGTCTTCAGCTCTTGGCCTACATGTCCGCCTCCAAGTTTGTTACTCCCTATGCAAGACTATGCCTCAGATGTCTCCAGATGTGGTTAAGAACAGTATATACCCCAAACAGACACAACCCCACTCTGACACTGGCAAACCAGGGGCCAGCTCTTGTCCAAGACTTTAGGCCTCAGCTAAGCACTGACAAATTCATTCCTGGAAATCAGTCCATCTTACCTGTTAGTATGGTTAAAATGGGTATTGAACTTGTATGAATGTGTTTAGTCTCTATGGAATGCTTGTAAGTTGATATATGCATTAATTTCACCTTTAATGTCTGTATCTCATGCTATACGGTGATATGTAAGTTTTGCTTTATAATTGTAAAAATGCTTGCTCTGAACCTGTGAACCCAGTCATGAGGAATGGTCCACCACCCATAAAGACTGACCATCAAGACGGACTATCAAAACTAAATGGGCCATGTGGAACATCATGATACAAAGACTTGGTGTAAACATATGAACTCATCCCTGCGGCGCCTCCTCCTGGTCTCTCAGGGAATTAGCTCCATTTCCAGCCCGGAGCACCCTCTGCAGGCCGGTGATCCACCACAGCTTGGCCCCCTGTGTCCCTCCCGGACTCCAGTGCCCCATTATCTGGGGTGCTGCCCCCTGGCAGTAACCCCTCACTCTCAGGGTCTCCCCTCCCCAGGGACCCCAACCCCCTAATCCCACCTTGCCTCAGCTGGTGGCTACTGCCAGTCAGCAATGAGCTCCCGCTCCCTGGGGCAGACTGCAGTTAAGTATAAGAGCCAGTCATCACAAGCAAGGGGGTAGGACCTGCTGTCTTCCTCTACCACCCAGTACCTCAGGGGTGGGCCTAGGACCTGGCCCTGCAGCCTGGAGCTCCCCTGCCCTACTTCACTCCCAGTACCTTTGCTACCAACAGCCAGGCCCTGCTTCCTCCAAGACCGGAGAGAGCTACTCTAGCTCCAAGCTAGCAGCCTTTTATAAAGACCTGCTGTGCTCTGTTTGGGGCATGGCCCCAGCTGTGCCTGCTTTCCTAAGCAGCCTGGGCTTTTCCTTATAGCCACAGCCCTCTCCCAGGGCTGGCCTTAACCCTGTCAGGGCCGGAGTGGGTAATCACCCCGCTACACTTAGTTAATGGCCCTCTCTGACCCATGAAGGTGCTACTGCAAGAAAACCAGTCCCAGCAGCTTGAATGCTGGAAGAAGGGGATAAAGCAGGGACACAGGAACATTTTCTCTCCCTTTTTGCTGTTTGGACTCTCACAGGGCTGGAGTTAGGAAACAGAAGCAGAGATCCCCACAGTCAACCTGGGGGAGGGAGGGTGAGAACATAAGAACGGCCATAGTGGATCAGATCAAAGGTCCATCTAGCCCAGTGTCCTGTCTTCCGACAGTGGCCAATGCCAGGCATAGGCGCCGACTTCTGCTCCTGCCAGTGGGTGCTCGACCCCCTTCTGCCCCCAGCCCCGCCCCGACTCTACCCCTTCCATGAAGCCCCACCCCTGCCCTCTCCCCTGCCCCCATTCCAACCCCTTCCCCAAAGTCCCCACCCCCTCCCTGCCCCTATTCCAACTCCTTCCCCAAATACCTGCCATGGCCCTGCCTCTTCCCCGCCTCCTCCCCTGAGCGCAACATGTTCCCGCTCCTCCTCCCCCCTCCCGGAGCTTGCTACACTGCCAAACAGCTGTTTGGCGGCGGCTAGGCGAGAAGCCCTGGGAGGTAGGCGGAGGAGCGGGGATGCAGCATGCTCGTGGGAGAGGCGGAGGAGGAGATGGGGTGGGGGAGAGGGGAGCTTGGCTCCCAGTGGGTGCAGAGCACCCACTAATTTTTCCCCGTGGGTGCTCCAGCCCCAGAGCAGCCATGGAGTCGGCGCCTATGATGCCAGGTGCCCAAGAGGGAATGAATAGAATAGGTAATCATCAAGTGATCTATCCTGTCGCCCATTCCCAGCTTCTGGCAAAGAGAGGCTAGGGACACCCATCCCTGCCAATCCTGGCTAATAGCCATTGATGGACCTATGCTCCATGAACGTATCTTTTTTTAACCCTGTTATAGTCTTGGCCTTCACAACATCCTCTGGCAAGGAGTTCCACAGGTTGACTGTGCATTGTGTGAAAAAATACTTCCTTTTGTTTGTTTTAAAGCTGCTGCTTATTAATTTCATTTTGTGACTAGGGCTGTCGATTAATCACAGTTAACTCATGCAATTAACTCAAAAAAATTAATCACAATTAAAAAAATTAATCGCAGTTTTAATCGCACTGTTAAACAATAGAATACCAATTAAAATTTATTAAATATTTTGGATGTTTTTCTACATTTTCATATATATTGTATTCTGTGTTGTAATTGAAATCAAAGTGTTTATTATTTTTATTATAAATATTTGCACTGTAAAATTATAAACAAAAGAAATAGTATTTTTCAATTCACCTCATACAAGTACTGTAGTACAATCTGTTCTGAAAGTGCAACTTACAAATGTAGATTTTTTTTTGTTACATAACTGCACTCAAAAACAAAACAATGTAAAACTTCAAAGCCTACAAGTCCACTCAGTCCTTCTTGTTCAGCCAATCGCTAAGACAAACAAGTTTATTTACATTTACAGGAGATAATGCTGCCCTCTTCTTATTTACAATGTCACCAGAAAGTGAGAACAGGCATTTGCATGGCACTTTTGTAGCTGGCATTGCAAGGTATTTATGTGCCAGATATGCTAAAAATTCGTATGGCCCTTCATGCTTTGGCCACCATTCCAGAGAACATGCTTCCATGCTGATGACGTTTTAAAAAAAAAAATACATTAATTAAATTTGTGACTGACCTCCTTGGGGGAGAATTGTATGTCCCCTGCTCTGTTTTACTCACATTCTGCCATATATTTCACGTTATAGCAGTCTCAGATGATGACCCAGCACATGTTGTTCATTTTAAGAACACTTTCACTGCAGATTTGACAAAATGCAAAGAAGGTACCAATGTGAGATTTCTAAAGATAGTTACAGCACTCAACCCAAGGTTTAAGAATCTGAAGTGCCTTACAAAATCTGAGAGAGATGAGGTGTGCAGCATACTTTCAGAAGTCTTAAAAGAGCAACACTCCGATGCGGAAACTACAGAACCCGAACCACCAAAAAAGAAAATCAACCGTCTGCTGGTGGCATCTGACTGAGATGATGAAAATAAACATGCGTCGGTCTGCACTGCTTTGCATTGTTATCAAGCAGAACCAGTCATTAGCATAGACGCATGTTCCCTGGAATGGTGGTTGAAGCATGAAGGGACATATGAATCTTTAGTGCATCTGGCACGTAAATATCTTGCAACGCTGGCTACAACAGTGCTATGAGAACGCCTGTTCTCACTTTCAGGTGACATTGTAAACAAGAAACGGGCAGCATTATCTCCTGCAAATGTAAAAAAACTTGTTTGTCTGTGTGATTGGCTAAACAAGTAGGACTGAGTAGACTTGCAGGCTCTAAAATTTTACATTGCTTTGTTTTTGAATGCAGTTTTTTTTGTACATAATTCTACATTTTTAAGTTAAACTTTCATGATAAAGAGATTGCACTACAGTACTTGTATTAGGTGAATTGAAAAATACTATTTATTTTGTTTTTTTGTGCAGTGCAAATACTTGTAATCAAAGATAAATATAAAGTGAGCGCTGTACGCTATATTATGTGTTGTAATTAAAATCAATATATTTGAAAATGTAGAAAATATCCAAAAAAATTTAAATAAATGGTATTCTATTATTGTTTAACAGTGCGATTAATCACAATTAATTTTTTTAATCACAATTAATTTTTAATTGCTTGACAGCCCTATTGGTGACCCCTAATTCTTGTGTTATGAGAAGGAGTAAAAAACAGTTCCTTATCTATTTTATCTACATCAGTCATGATTTTATAAACCTCTATCATATCCCCCGTTACCCGTCTCTTTTCCAAGCTGAAAAGTCCCAGTTTTATTAATCTCTTATTTATCTTCAGCCGTTCCATACCCCTAATCCTTTTTGTTGCCCTTTTCTGAACCTTTTTCAATTCCAATATATCTTTTTTGAGATGGGGCGACCACATCTGCATGCATTTATGCATGGATTTATATAGAGGCAATATGATATTCTTCTTTGAGTGATTGCTCACGTGCATTCTACAATAGGTGTGCGTGCTCGCCACGTGCACCGGTGCCAGAAGCTTTTCCCCTAGCTGTACCCATAGGGGAGTGCGCCTAGCGACCCCTGGAGTGGCGCCTTCATGGCGCGGTATAAGAGGCGCTGCGCGCTCCCCCCACCCTCAGTTCCTTCTTGCCGCCAGTGAAGGTGCATCGAAACTGCTCTGCTCCAGCTTTGCTGCAGCTTCCCTCTTGAACTGTTTTTCGTTCATTGTTAACCTGTAGTTAAAGTAGTTTAGATTAGTGTTAGTTTAATTTAGTGCGCCTGGGTTGGGGCATGCCCCGTGCCCCAGGCTTTAAGTCGTGCGATACTTGCAGGCGGCTGATGCCAGTGAGTGATCTGCACACGGACTGTTTACGCTGTCTAGGGGAAACCCATCTCAGCGATCACTGCAAGAATTGCAGATCCTTCAAGCCTCGGACCAAGGAAGAGAGGGACATTCAGCTCCAAGTCATTCTGATGGAGTCGGCATTGACCTCGATTCCAGTGCGCCGCTCTGAGTCGGCACCGAGTATCGCGGTGTCAGTGCACGGCAACCCTTTGGTGCCTTCCACCAGTTGGCACCGCTCCCCATTCACGGGTCATGCCAAGAAGAGGTCTTCTCGACCGAGACACTGGAGCAAGACTGGGGGAGAGACTAGACCCACGTTGGGCAGTTTTCGATCCCCGTCGGCCTCTAGGCCTCTGACTCAGGTTGAACTGTTGAAAAGGGTGGCATCGAGCCTCAACCTTCAAGCCGAGGAACCCTCGGACTTCCTCTTCAACGTCCTATCCGCCTCAGTGCCGGGCAGGGTGGCCCTCCCACTCCTGAAGGGGTGGCGAAAATTTCAAACACCTTGTGTCAAACCCCGGCTTCCTTGCCCCCCATCTCTAAGAGGGCGGAACGGAAGTACTTTGTGCCCACCAAGGGGCATGAATACCTGTACACCCACCCTGCCCCCAACTCCCTGGTAGTCGAGTCAGTTAACCACAGGGAGAGGCAGGGCCAACCAGCTCCTACTCCGAAAAATAAAGACAAGAAGGCTGGACTTATTCAGGAGAAAGGTTTATTCGTCCTCGAGTTTCCAGTTAAGGGTGGCAAATCATCAAGCCCTCCTAAGGTGGTATGAGTTCAATTTGTGGGGCTCTCTGCCCAAATCTGAGGACTCCCTCCCGGAGCGTGACAGGAAGGAGTTCAAGGCTCTGATGGAGGAGGGTACAGCAGCTGCCAGGGCGACCCTGCAGGCAGCATCAGATGCCGCGGATACTGCTGCAAGGTCTATGGCCTCCACGGTGTCCATGAGGAGGGCGTCGTGACTCCTGCTGTCTGGGCTGTCCAGCGAGGCACAGAACTCCTTGCAGGACCTTTCGTTCGACAGCAAGGCCCTGTTGCAGAACAGATGGATGTGAAATTGCATGACCAGAACGCTTAAGACACTTGGCCTCTATGTCCCAGCTCCGGCTAGACCAAGTTTAAGCTTCAGCTGGCTCCCACCCAGGCCACCCACTCTAAATATGAGCCCCCTTATAAAAAGTCTTGGGACTATAAGAAACGCCCATAGAGGCAGTCCCGAGCCTGGGCCTTCCAAGGGCAAACAGGCGGGAAAATGTTAGTTTTGACGGGACGCCCGGGGGCAATTTACCCGTTCATACCAGGGATTCACCCACAATAAAGCTTCCCTTCTCCAACCGGTTGTGTGCTTTTCTCCCAGAGTGGTCGCGGTTGACCTCAGACCGTTGGGTCCTCAACACCGTCTTCCACGGCTACACCCTCCAGTTTACCTCTACCCCACCCAACCACCCTCCAGCCCCGTCCCTCCTGGGGGACCCCTCTCACGAGGCCCTGCTCGAGCAGGAGGTGGGGCGGCTCCTTGGCCTAGGAGTGGTGGAAGTGGTGCCAGCGGAGTTCAAACGCAAGGGGTAATACTCCCGCTATTTCCTTATCCTAAAGGCCAAAGGGGGGCTCACGCCCATCCTGGACCTGCGAGGCCTGAACCAGTACATGGTACAGCTTAAGTTTCGCATGGTCTCTCTGGCCTCCGTCATCCCCTCCCTGGATCCCGGGGACTGGTACGCCGCCCTCGATCTGCAGGACGCGTACTTCCACATTCATATATTCAAGAGGCACAGGCGTTTCCTCCGTTTCACGGTTGGGCAGGAACACTTCCAATTTACGGTCCTCCCGTTTGGCCTGTCCACTGCTCACAGGGTGTTCACGAAATGCATGTCTGTGGTGGTGGCCTACCTCAGACGTCGTGGGGTTCAGCTCTTCCCCTATCTTGACGACTGGCTGGTCAAGGGCAGCTCCAGGTCACAGGTGCGGGATCACATGGCGCTCCTCCTGTCCACATGTGCCACCCTGGGCCTGTTGGTAAATGACACCAAGTCCACATTAGTCCCGATGCAGCGCATAGAGTTTATCGGGGCAGTCCCAGACGCGATGTCGGCCAGGGCCACCAGACAGATTCGAGACCCTAAAAGGGCTCATTGACACGGTCACAAGGTTCCCCGTGACCACAGTCAGAGCGTGCCTCCAGCTCCTGGGTCACATGTCGGCGTGCACATATGTGGTTCGCCACACCAGACTCAGGATGAGGCCCCTCCAGCACTGGTTGGCCTCGGTGTTCTCCCAGTCCAGAGACAAGAGAACTGTGCCGGAACTGGGGCTCACCTCCCTACAGTGGTGGTCCTCCCTGGGTAACATCCTCCACGGGGTCCCATTCAGGGGCAGGCCCCCATCAGTGGAGCTAGTGTCCAACGGGTTGGACCTGGGGTGGGGGGCCCATTTGGGGAATGTTCAGACCCAAGGTCTGTGCATATAAACGTCAAGGAGCTCCAGGCAGTCCAGCTGGCATGCGTGGCCTTCCGCTCGCACCTGGAGGGCAGAGTGCTCAGGGTTCTCATGGACAACACAGCCTCAATGTTTTACATCAACAGGCAAGGCGGGGCCTGCTCCTCTGCCCTCTGCCAGGAAACCCTCAGGCTGTGGGACTTCTGTATAGCCCACAACATTTGCCTACAAGCCTACCACTTACCGGGCACCCGGAACTCATGGGCGGATCGCCTGAGCTGAGACTTCTCCTCTTAGCACGAGTCACTACACCCAGAGGTGGTGCACAGGATTTTCCAAGAGTGGGGAACTCCCCAGGTGGACCTGTTCGCGACTCAGCTGAACTGCTGGTGTCCCCGTTTCTGCTCCGGGGGCGGGGGGCAGGGTTGGGCGTGGGCACCATCTCCGATGCCTTCCTCCTGTCCTGGTCGGGCCAGCTTCTCTATGCCTTTCCCCTGATCCCGTTGATCGGCAAGGTCTTGGAGAAGATAAAAACGGACAGGTCCTCCTGATTGCCCTGGCATGGCCCAGGCAACATTGGTACAGGTCCCTCACAAGCCTGGCGGTTGCCCCGCCATGGCTGTTGCCATCCCACCCGGACCTGCTCTCCCAGGACCAGGGCCACCTCCTCTGCCCCAACCTAGCAGCACTCCACCTCATGGCATGGCTGCTCAATGGTTAGGCTGGGAGGAAAGGACGTGCTCAGAAGGGGTTCAGCGCGTCCTCCTGGAAAGCAGACGGCCCTCCACGTGTCAGGCCTACCTGGCGAAGTGGTCTCGGTTTTCCCAGTGAGTAGCCGATCGGGGCGTTTCGCCTGTGGCTGCTTTGATCCAACTCATTTTAGACTACCTCCTTCACCTTAGAGCCCGGGCCTAGCGCCCTCGTCCATCAAAGTGCACTTGTCGGCTATATCGGCCTTCCACCCACCGGTGCAGGGACACACGGTCTTCTCCCATGCTATGACTGGCTGATTCCTCAAGGGATTGGATCATCTCTTCCCGTACATTAGGCCCCCAGTCCAGCAGTGGAACCTGAACTTGGTGCTGGCCTGGTTGACGGGTCCCCCGTTTGAGCCGCTAGCTAGATGCTACTGGTCGCACCTCTCGCGGAAGGTGGCCTTCCTGGTGGTGATCACGTCAGCTAGACAGGTCTCAGAGCTCAGGGCCCTGACCTCCAAACCCCCGTACACGGTGTTCCATAAGGATAAGGTCCTGCTCCGACTACATTGTTCGTTCCTCCCCAAGGTGGTCTCCACCTACCACATGGGTCAGGACATCTTCCTGCCGGTGCTCTGTCCCAAGCCCCATGCGTCCAGTAAAGAGCGCCTTCTCCACATGCTGGATTTGAGATGGGCTCTGGCCTTTTACCTGGAACGGACAAAGCCGTCCAGGAAGTCCTCGCAGATGTTCATCACCTCGGCCGAGTGCATGAGAGGTCGGCTGATCTCCATTCAGCAGCTCTGGATCACTTTGTGTATTCGTATCTGTTACGACCTGGCGGGGATTCCCCCACCGCCGATTGTAAGGGCACACTCGACTAGGGCGCAAGCCTTGTCAGCTGCCTTTTTAGCCCATGTTCCCATTCAGGACATTTGTAGGACTGCCACGTGGTCTTCCATTCACACTTCACCTCGCATTATGCGATCGTCTCCCAAACCAGAGAGGATGCTGGGTTCGGCAGGGCGGTAGTCCATCCCGAGAGTCTGTGAACTCCTACCCACCTCCAACAGATATAGCTTGGAATCACCTATTGTGGAATGCACATGAGCAATCACTCGAAGAAGAAAAGACAGTTACCTTTTCCATAACTGGTGTTCTTCGAGATGTGTTGCTCATGTCCATTCCACATCCCGCCCTCCTTCCCCTCTGTCGGAGTTGTCTGGCAAGAAGGAACTGAGGGTGAGGGAGCGTGCAGCGCCCCTTATACCTTGCCATGGAGGCACCACTCCAGGGGCCGCTAGGGGCGCTCCCCTACGGGAACTGCTAGGGGAAAAACTTCCGGCACCGGTGCACATGGCGAGCACACACACCTATTGTGGAATGGACATGAGCAACACATCTCGAAGAACACCAGTTACGGAAAAGGTAACTGTCTTTTTTCTGTCTTATTATCTATCCCTTTCTTAATGATTCCCAACATTAGTGGGGAATGCTGTGGGGGAAGCAGCCTAGGGGAGTGATCGAGGGTGCTGTGGGTAGGGGTGACCAGGGAGAGCTGTGGAGGCAGCGGGGGGAGGGCAGGAGTGACCAAGTGACCAGGGAGTGCTGAAGGGTTGTAAGGGAAGAGAATGATCAGAGAGTGCTGGGGACCTGCAATGGGTGGGTGTGTGTGTGTGTGTGTGTGTGTGTGTGTGTGTGAGAGAGAGAGAGAGAGAGA